TGTACCCCTTCTGTAACTTGATTTCTTTTTTTTTTTTTTTTTTTTTACTTTTCCAAGCTTTCGAGCACTCTTGCTTTTACGCAATTAGGACGGTAAGAAAATTCACGAGTTCTGATGTAAGTTACGGTTCTCAGAAACTTTTACATTCGATCAAACTTTCGCAACGAAAAAAGTTTCTTTGTTTTTTTCTCATCATTTCAAGATCGAGTTTGAAGTAACTATAAGTATACTCGAGGGCGATTGTATACAGAACTGCCGATGAAACTCATTCCATAGCTCAATTGTTCGGATCTCGGAAAAAACAAGTTTACCCCAACTAAATCGGTAAAAATGATTCGGTGATCCTCGTTCTTACGCGGTACAATTAAAAAAAAATTTTTTCATCATATAATTAACAATAATAAACGTGTCTATGTACACGAATGTACGCGCGTATAAATTATATACATGTTACAACAATATAGTATACAGAACCACCAACATAATGTGCGAATGTGATTTTTGCTGGCTTGTATCGGCTACGAAGAATGTAAAGGCGATCTTTTTCGTGCAATGTTTTCACGTGTTGCTTTTCTTTTTTCATCATCATTAGCACAGCTATTAATTAACCTTTGCATATATGTTTTATGTTACATTAGAATTTTGTATACGATGTAGATGATGCAAAATTATGATTTTCCAAACAATACGTCGCTCTTGAGTAGATTATTAACACATCGTGGATTCATTTATTACTGAAAGTTTATACGCACATATAGACTTTTTATAGTAATTACTTTTTTCATTGTGAAATGGCTACGTAAGAGCACATGTATCTTCTGAATTTACTTTTCTCTTGTGGTTTGTTATTTTTTATTTATTCAGTGGCTAAAGTAAGGATCAGAATATTGTGGTGATGAAAAAATCATCCAAGATTTTGAAGCTTTTTTAAAATTTGTCAATACAAATTACGAAAGATTCAGAACAATCTGTTTGAGCGAAATATTTTTCTTCGAGTATAACTTGTTTAAATAATGTGAATTTTAATTCAATTATCTCGAAATTTCAAGGAAAATACGCAGTAGTGACAAAGTTTAGTTGTAAGTTTATATTTATCTTTCATCGTAGAAAGCTTGTAAACATTACAGACGCAAAGTGACCACTTTTGGTAGAAGTTCAAATTTTTTTGGAAATTTTCAAGGTGAAAAAAAAAATTGATTTTTATTGCATAGTTTTACAGCAAATATACTATGTAATTTACGTACTTTATTTTTCTGGGTAAATGTTTAAAATCGGAAGAAAATTGAAATTCAATTAAATTTAATCGTTTGATACCTATACGCGGAAGAATTTTTAATAATTTAAATGGCTAAATTACTTAATCTCAATGTTGAGTACCTATTTTAATTTAGCACTCATAACTTTTACGTTAATAATTACAATGCAATTTAAAAAATCGATAAAAAAATTATTGTTTATTCGATGGTGTAATTGGAACATTGAATAGTTTAACTACAAGATATAAATAAATAAATTGTTTTTTTAATGTTAACATAATTATTACCAACAGATAAACTTGTATAATATATTGTTTTTCATTTCTATCAACAATTACATTAGGCTTACATTTTAATTATTTAATTAATGCATAAGGCTATTATATATACTTATATACGTAAGTATGCAAAACACGATGAGTTAGAAAAATTTTAGTAATTTCGAGTAGAGTTGTAAATTTTGTATTTACCTTTAGAAATATGTTTTAATCAACATTTATATTTTCCATCTCCATAAGCTAAACTTTAATTGAATCAATGATCTTTGTATTGTTATATCTTTAAAGTACATCAATATATATGTATATATATATATATATATGTATATATATATATGTATTAGCCTTGGTAAGTCTTTGGTTATTGTGGTTTGAAACAGAATGTTCAAGTTAAAATGATCAGTTTCAATGAAAATCATGTGAATATCGCGAGTTGAAAAATTTTTTTTAATCCAGTGCGTACCAACTCAAGTTAGAATTTGACTTTGTAAGACAGAATCAATATTAAGGAGAAAAAGGAGCTGAAAAAAATTGAACAATCAATGTGATAAGTGCACTGAAAATCACAGAGTATGTGCGTTCCTTTTAAACTATGAAAAACGTTTAAGAGAAAAAAAAAACCTGCGCACCTATTGGGTTTCATGAAAAATATTAAAATAAATTTAAAATAGTATCGAGAAGGTATCAATAATTATTATTTTTCGAGGCATTGGTTATACGCTACTTTTTGTTATTGTGATTGTCAAAGTCATTACTTCTGCTTTTCTCGAGATTAAAAACATCAACGTAAAAAAAAAAGAAAGTTATTATAAAGAGAAGCGAGAAAAAGTCCAACTGAAAAACATGAAAATGCGTGCAATGAGGGATCTGGAGGAAATTTTAAAAGCCGTTCGAGGAAACTCATATTACGTGAAGCGAAGGCAAGAAAGGGTGGAGTAGAAAAGTAAAAAGTACAAAACAGGAGAATATTCACCGGAGCACGGCAGCTCGATTTCTTCCAAAATACGGTGTGTACACGCTCAATTGACGTTCCTCCTTTTTTTTTTTTTTTTATTTTCTCTTCTAATCGCACACGTGTATACGCGAGGAAAAGTGTCTCAAGCTTTTATACGCATCAGCAATCCGTAATACGCCGAGGAGGAGCTTTTCCTTCGCCAAATGGCTTTTTATCTTTTCACTGTATAGGGCTGCAGTACCCGACTTTCACGTATACCGTATTTATGTGTTGCGTCGAAATGCGCTGTTTCGATTGTCAATGCTCGACTTTCCGGCCATCGCCTGTACTACGCGCACTGAATATCTCGACCACTGTTTTTTTTTTCTGCTATTTTTTCGTTCCCTTAGTTTTCAAAAAGTATTTCTCTCGCAAGTTTGCGACTGAAAAATTATGAATTTCAAGGTTTTCTTCGTTACTTAGTTTAAATTGCAGTTTTTTTGCATCAACGTGTTATATTTGTGTTTGCAGTATTACATCTTTTNTGTATTTGGAATTAAATAAATTCAAATATGCTAACCGGACACTTTTCTTCATCTTCTTTTCATTGATGAACATGAGGATGAAAAGTAAACGAAGCATGGACGAACTCTCATTGAAGCACTCGATTTTTATGAATAAAGAAAAAAAAAAAAAAAAAAAAAAAAAAAAAAAAAAAAAAAAAAAAAAAAAAAAAAAAAAAAAAAGAAAAAATTAATTTAGCCGTATGAATGTAACTATTGAATGTCCGCCCTTGAAATAAGCGTGCAATTTACGTATAATTAATTAAAATTGTTACGATAATGATAGTTATATATATGTATATATATTTTTTTACAACAAAGATAAATTTACAAAATTCTTGTCGTTTCATTACTTCAACATAGCTTCGGAAAGTGCTTCGTATCGGCTCAATCACCCATAAATAATTCATTTTGCGTACGTATATATATATTTTTTATTTTACGACCAACCCAACCTTTCACCCGGACCTTTGCGAACCAACCAAAATTCATGTGGCGTGACGTCAAGAAATCTATGCTTTGCGCCATCACATACACACCGCATATATACGCATTAACATATTTATAATCGCATAATAACAATGGAAAGTGCTACAGCTCGCGCGTACCCCTCGTGACTTTGTTTGGCCAATCCGTCCTCTCTCGACGAAAACCATTATATATGATATACGACGTATGTTGGTCTAGCATTGGTAAACTATCGCGACAGTCGCATCATTATAGGGTACCCCTTTTGTAATATTCTCAAAACACTTAACAATCGTGTGAGGTGTGTGTGTGTGTATATATACGTATGCACGTTACAATGGCAGATGATGCGAGGGCGTTTATTTGATCGATTGGTGGGTGTATGTATGAGTTGCAAGAGTATTGGCAGCAGCAGGTTTGCTATTTTATGAGGAATGTGCAGCGTGTACGAAAGGATTATGCACCTAACCTAATAAAATTTGATGGATTATGTGACACATTGTCACTTTCATAACATTATCATTACTTAAGCTCCGGTTGTATTGTAATTATTTAATTCATTTTTTTTTAAATTATAAAAATATTCATAAGATTCTTATAAATTGATTTGATAAAGTTTTTGTTTTATTTGACGATCATTTCAGGAAATAGTTAATGAGAACGTAATTGACCCACATATGTGCAAGTTATTTTTAATAAATTTTTGATACACTATCCAGAGGATGCAAACTGAGTGCACATCCGTGTAAGAGCGGATAGTTACGATTGTTCAAGCATAATTGAATATTCTATGAAAACTTAATACCTAGTTAGCAGTATTTTAATTTTTTTTTGGTTTTGTTGGTTTTTTTTACTTCGGTTAAATTCGATATTTGTAATTGTACACTTTTCATTTGTCAAGAAAAAATTTTTTCCCTCAATTCATTCTCTTCAAATTATATTGAATGCATGAGACATCTGAAAAATTATGTACTATCTACGAACTGAAAAAACCGTGGTATTACATAAAAAAAAAAAAAAAAAAAAAAAAAAAAAAAAAAAAAAACTATTAAATATTTACGTCTATCTATCAAAGACTGTGCTCATGAACCTCTTATTTGATCTAATAGCTTTACTAAAGCATATAAAATACTCCCGCTGATTATGAACCCTTGTTTTTACACCCGTTCTTGTGCATTCGGTTCTAAATGCTAATTGAACATGCAATTGGTCGAAAACTATCACTAATAGATTCTTACGTTTATCTACTTTTCTAGTCGTCGCCACAGCTTGTTGGAGCTTCAATCTCGCGGAAGGTCTTTTAAATCTCGAAAACAATTTTTGATCCGCTTGCGATGACGCTAGAAAAGATACCTCTTCATACGTCATCAGTGTTACTTATTTTTTTTTATTTTTTATTTTTTTTATTTGTTACTGTACTTTAGGAGAGACAATATTATGACTTCTACGAGAAAAAGTGAATATTCCCGAAGAGGTGATTTTTTTCTTTCTGATCCAGTGGAAGCAACAAT